CTCCTTAGACTGAGCTTAGCTGAAGCCCCTCATCCTCCTTAGACTGAGCTCAGCTGAAGCCCCTCATCCTCCTCACCCTGCTCACACACTTGGTGCCCATTTCTCAAAGACTCTGTGAAATCATGGTTTGGTTTTCTTGTCCAGGGACCTTCATTGTAAAAGTTCTTTGCAGAATTGAGAGGAAAATAAGTTGAAGTGGCCAGAAATGGGAAATATAAAAGGAATTTAAATMCKTTGGATCTGTTTTYYTTTCACCTTCTTCTGATGGGAAAAYCTTATAAAACATCCCTGGAGCCTTTGCATTCGGCCAAGGTGGGGGTTGATTAATTGAGGCCTTTGACAACAATGGAATATTATTTTAGGATTTTCTTATCTGTCATAATTCCTTTCTCTCCATTTTTCATTCATGGGATGTGGAGAGGGGTGGAAAACCTCCTTCGAGGGAAAACTTCAGCACAGGAAAGGTTTCAAAATTTTCTGGGGCCATTTGCATTTCTTATTTTCCGTCTCTCCATTTAATCCGTCTCCACATTTAATCACCAACAAATGAGCAAGAAAAACAATTAACTGAACTGAAATGAAACAATTAACAAAGTGACCCCTCAGGAAGTTAGGGAAATAAAGGGAGCAAGKCTGGTTGTGACCTACCTGGACAGGTGTGGGGTGTTGTTTTTGGGTGTTGTCCATGCATGTGAATCCTTCTGGAGGCTCCTGATGCCTTGGGTGGTATCTGCCATCTCTTCTTTTATGGAATCATGGAATATCCTGAGTTGGAAGGGACCCCACTGAGCCCAACTCTTGTCCCTGCACAGACACCCCAACAATCCCCCATTATGCCCAGGGGTGTTGTCCAAATGCTTCTGGAGCTCTGGCAGCTCCTGGGGAGCCTGGGCAGTGCCCAGCACCCTCTGGATGAAGAACCTGTTCCTAATATCCACCCTAAACCTCTCAGGCACAGCTCCAGCCATTCCTGGTCACAGAAAGCAGAGATTGGAGCTGCCCCTCACAAGAAACTGAGGATTCTCCCTTCATTCTCCTCCACCAAGTGCCCTCAGCTGCTCTTTGYGTGACTCCTCCAGAATTTTCCCCATTCCTGTGTCCCTCCTTTGGACACTCCAATATTTTTAGGATTTTGGTACCCAAACAGCCCCCAGGATTGGAGGTGAGCCCAGAGCAGAATGGGACAATCCCCTCCCTCAATATCCAGTGATGCTACACCTGATCCCCCCAGAATGTAGTGACCCTCCTGACTCCAGGACAYGCTGCTGAYTCACATCCATCTCCCCATCCACCARAACCCCCAAATCCCTTCCCGTGTGCCTCCGGGGCTGGCAGGGGGACGGCCGCTGCGTCTTTAACGCCGTCTCAGGGCTGCGCGGAGGCAGCTCCATTGAAGATTTGCGGGAGAGCAGGAAGGGGGGTGTGGATGTGGCTATTGGCAGAGCTGTKCTGACATCCCTGGGAACAGCTGGGATCTGCTGAGCTGCTTCTCAGAGCCCCGAGCTCGCCGGAGCAGCCGCAAAAATCGCGWTTTTTTATTCGGGAGAGCTGGCGGGGGCTTCCCAGGAGCAATATTATCCTGGCAAGAATTCCTCTTGAACCGGTCACAACCATGGAGTCTCCGTTGAAATCGGGAAACAGCTGACGTGCTCAGAGTGCAGAACCACCACGGTGAGTTTATTTTTAGAAGGAGGTTTTTAATTATTTGGGGGCTTGAGGAAAAGAAAGATCGATCAGACTTTTAGTTTCCCCTTCTCCTGTGCAAAATGCAGCGTCAACGTGGGTGAATATTTCAGGGATGGGGACATGACAATGTCCCTCTCCGGCTGGTAAGTGCCAGGATTTCTGCTTCTGGATGAGGGGTTAATTTAAAAATGGAGCTGGACTAAATAAATATGTGGCTTTGGGATCCCCAGTCAGGATTTGGGAGGGTGAGATGAGCTCTCCTCTTCCTCCCTTTTATGCTGTTGGGGATGCACCTACGGAGAGAGGGAATCCCCGGTCGGCATCCTGTGCTCTGCCATGTCATTAAGGAGTTCCCCTGACGGCATCATGGAATCTCCTTCAGCTCGCTCCTGGGTAATTCCTTTCATTTTGCAAAGACAGTTATGTTTTAACATAACAAAGATAGTTCTATTGGGTTATATTTTAATGGATTTACTCGTTTGGAGCTGGCTAGTTGATGGGGAGCGTTGGCTAGTCGGTTGGCAGTGTGCCATGTGACGTTTTTGGGGTGGCTTATGCAATTTGGTGTTCTGTAGGACAGTGCTTGTGTTCGCTGATACATTAACCCCGTTTTTAAATTAATTTAAACCTYTCACTGAGTTGGGTTTAGCTGAATCAGGAGGTTGGATTGACTTTTCTCCCTCCTCACRCGTGTCCATCTCCCAGTTCTGCCTAACACCCATGAAGTTACGCTCTTTTTATTCCAGTTTTAATGCTGGGAGCTGGTTTTCTTGGGATTGAGGTGTGGTTACTGTACTTTGGGATCTCAGGATCTCTCCCTGCTCCTCCGACCTCACACTCAATCCCAACTTTTGCTGCTGTCAGCCAACAATAAAGTTGAGTTATTTCTTCAAATCTTATTTCCCCATTTTTTCCCTATTTTCAAATCAATTTTTGGATCCCCCCACTTAAGAACATCCAGTGCCTGCCGTGTCCCCCTCTGTGATGAGTGGCTGTGTCCTCTTCCAGCATGGGGAAAAGCAGGAGGAGGGATACAGATACCATTCCTGCCTTGTGCCTTCCTCTAATGGATATTTTCTGGTAGCTGGGATGCTTTGGGGCTGATAAACAAAGTTTGGGGATGCTCTTTGTCAGCCAGGTCAGCTCAGGAAGGTGAGGGAATTCCTTGTTCCCTCATCCAGATTTTTGACACTGGTGCTCCTGCCTGGCACAAGCTCAGCACGGGAGCAGCTGCCAGCAGGAGAGGAGCTTTTTTTCCATATTTCCCTGAGTTTGGTACCTCTAGCTCAGATCCTCCTTATGGATGGGCTCAGATGGAAAAAATTCTGCTTGGGGTTGTTGAAAGTGTYGGTGGGAGCTGTACCAGGGATTTCTGCCAGGTCATGGAAGGGTTAACAGAAATCCCTGTTCAATGCTGTCCTATTGCATCCTGACACTGTGAAAAGTAGGTGGATAATTCCTTGCTCGCTTTTCAGGAAACCCCTGTGGTGGACAGCCCTCATTAATTGTTGCTGGGAAACTGCTTTGACGTCACCGGAGCAGTTCCCTGGTCTTTGGATGAATACAGGAATAGCTCGTGATGAGGAAGTGGGAAGTGGTGTGAAATGGAGCAGGGAGCTCTGACAGGGGATTCTCATCCTGGATTTCTTTCCTCCCTCCCATAGTTCTGCCCAGGAACYCTCAGGAACTGTCCACAAACCTCCAGTGCTGCAATGGGAGCAGCACTTCCTTCTCCAGGAAGCCCTTGGTTCTCCAGGGCTGTGTCATTGATGATCCTTCACTTTTTAACTGTTTTGGGTTCAGGTTTTTTTTTTAGTGTTGGTTTGGGGTTTTTTTGGTGTTGTTTTTGGGTTTTCTCCTCCCCCAGATTTTGCAAATGAGGGGTGAGAAGGTTATTGCTCAGCCTGAAGCAGCTCCCAAAAAAATCAAAGAAAAAGAGAGCATTGGGATCACCATTTCCTTTCTTTTTARCATCAAACCAACAATGTCCCTTTTCCTACCTGAGGGGAGAGCAAGGCTGAGAGTGGCCCTTRGTGCTGGGAACTCCAGGCTCGAACAACTTGGAATTAAAACTGTTTAATCCCACTTTCCTTAGAGAAATATTCCTTAGGACCATTTAGGATGTTTATAAAACTTTTATGTACCTTTATGTGATTCCTGGGTATCATGTGGAAATTATTTTGGCAGTCCTGATGCTGGTCACACTCCTGGAATACAGTGGGAACAAGTTGACACCTCTCCTGAGTTTAGTCCTTGGCTCAATGGCGGGAGGTAACAAAATATCAGAGTATTTTATTCCCCCTGAAATTATGAGATATTTTCTGATTCTCTGTGAATTTTCCCGTCTCCTTGTTCGCATGAGGTTATTTCCCCTCTTTTCACCTGGAGTCAAACCCTTCCATCTGCATCATAAATTCAGAATTTGATGTCATGTGGGGGTGGAGATGAGGATTTAAAGCAATGACTAAGCACGGGGACAGTGCAGGCAAAGACGTCCGGCCTCCTGTGGGCAGTTTTGCTGGGTTTTGTARGAACTCTAAGGTAGGGAGGAATTAAATCCCTCTCCAGCTGAAAATAAGGAATAAGGAGAGAATTTAGGAGTGGTGGCTTTGAAGTTGGAGTTTGAGTATTGCTGGTTTTGGGGTTTCTCACTGATCAGGTGCTTGTTCTGGGGGGAGCTGTTACCTGATCTCYGGCAGGAGAGAAGAAGATAAGATCTTTCCTGTCGAAATTCCAGCCCAGCCTGCAGACTTTTCCCGGGCTGTTGGTGCAGTGATGTTTTCCCCTAGCAGAGCCCAGGATGGCGAAATCTTTCAAGACCTTTAGTTACTTTACCAAATCCTTCCATCCCARCCTCTTGTTGCACCTGGCACGATTGTCCCAACCTCCCTTCCCTGGCCAAGAAGGAGCCGCTGGGACGATTCTCAAGGCATGGAGAGGGCCCGGCAGAACCTGAGGGGCTTCATGCTTAGAATGGCAGCCCCCTCCCCACCCCGCCGCCTCCACTTTTTCCTGTGCGAACCTTTTTTTTTCCCGCATCCTCTGCCGCGCTGGGGAGGGGGGACCTGAGTCACCCCCGCCCTGTTGCTCCTGGCAACAGGGCCCGTTGCCATGGAGCTCGGCTTCCCATTGGCTGCCGGGCAGCCAATCAGCGAATTGCTCGCCAGAGCATCACTGGTACCCAGCGGGAGGGAGGTGATGGGTGGTGGGTGGTGGGTGCTGYTGCCCCCAAAAACCGGGAGAGGGGAATGCTGGTGTGCTGGGGGAATTGTGGAATAATTTGGGAATAATTTGGGAGTAATTTGGGCTGGGAGGGACCGTAAAGGCCGTTCTGTGCCACCCCCGCCGTGGGGATGTGGCCCTGTTGAATGTCCCAGGGACTGAGTTTGGGAAAGGCAAACCAGAGCAGGTTAATAACGCAGTGAGACAGGAATTCCTGGTAGGAATGCTGTAGGRTTGACATTGGTTCCCATGGCCATGGCTTGGGTAGGTGCTGGGAAGGTGAAGCCCACCTGGAATCGTGGGATATCCTGGTTTGCAAAGGACCCCGTGGATCATTGAGTCCAATTCCCAGCCCTGCACAGGACACCCCAAAAATCCCACCTTATGTCCAAACACTCCTGGAGCTCTGGCAGCCTCGGGGCCGTGACCATTCCCTGGGGAGCCTAGGCAGTGCCATCACCCTCTGGGAGAAATTTTTTCCCTGAAATCCAACCCAAACCTCCCCTGACACAGTTTCAGCCATTCCCTCGAGTTCTGGGTCACCAGAGAGCAGAGGTTGGTGCTCATGAGGAAGCTGCAGATCGGGATGAAGAAGCCAAGTGCCCTCAGCTGCTCCTTGTGTGGCCTTTCCAGACCCTTCCCTGTCTCCATGTCTTTCTTTTGGATGCTCTCCAATAGCGTTTGACCCTTCTTATGTTGTGGCACCCAAAGGACTCGAGCTGAGGCTGTCCCAGAGCAGAGTAGGGCAAGCCCCTCCTTCAGCACCGCTTGCCTTAGCCCTGAAACCAAAGAGGTGGAGGCTGAGGCACCTCAGGTATCTCCATCCCCACCTCAGATCTCTCCATCCCCACCTCAGATCTCTCCATCCCCACCTCAGATCTCTCCATCCCCGCCTCAGATCTCTCCATCCCCACCTCAGATCTCTCCATCCCCACCTCAGATCTCTCCATCCCCACCTCAGATCTCTCCATCCCCCCCTCAGATCTCTCCATCCCCACCTCAGATCTCTCCATCCCC